ACTTCGATATAGATTGCTAATGTCCTCTACTATAATTTGTTGGTATGGAGAGGGCTTGAGAACTTGGCTATGATCAAGAAATGAGTTACAAATCCTACTCCACTAGAGCGATATGGTAGGACGCACAAGTCTGTAGATGAGGAAGGCATCTAGTGAGATTCATCTACAAGCTTGAAGTTGGACATTAGGCTCCAAGTTTGGTATGCTACAGGGCTTCTCAATCAGATTTAGGTTGAATTGTATGAGGCTTGGTTGGCAGTTAGTTTGGAGATAGATTTGGAATTATAGCTCTTAGGTACTAAAAGCTGGACATTAGATGTAGCTACTATGGGAAGTTGTAAGAGGACATAGGTTCAAGTCTGCTTAGGCTTTCTGGTACTCTACTAGTGTTGTTCTATAGGTGGATTGCTTTGACTTGACATGAAAGCTAGTTTTTGGGCTAGGTTATGCACATCTTTCTATATATTTTGATTTTCATCCATTGCTAGAACTTTGTTGCAAGCTAGACTTTTAGAATAGCATGTGGACTCGGTTTTTTACAGACTAGAATTTGGGCAGAGCTGCCACCCACTATGACAAGCTGGTGCTTGGCTTTTGGGTTGCAATTTTTGGTTTGAGTTTCTTATGGAGATGGGCTTTGGTGCTACTGTAGCTTTCCTCCTAAAATATGCAAATCTGCTCAGATGCAAAATAAAATGCAACTCTTTTGGACTCCTTCAACCTTGGTTAAAGGATCGGTTATAGTAGAATAAAGAACATTTGGTTGACACATAAATCAAGAAATGCATTTTAAAGTCATGTTGATAAGTACGCAAATAAAAGCAATATCTTCTAATCCAACTCCTTTTCTATGAACTATCACATCAGTGGAATAGTGAATAGCCTAAGAAATCACACATAAGAGTAAAATGGGAATCTTACCTTATTTATAAAGGAGTAACCTAATTTTTATTTATCAAGAAATTTTGGTCAATTAAAGCCTAACATATTAAAGAATTTAGTCCAATCCCAAAATAAGATAATACCTAACCTATTGAATCACTTTATATAATATAGTCTCCATGGATATAAGACTATATAATCAACGAGTTTTACAACATAGAAAATTAATTAATGAAAGTTTGGTAACTATAAAATTCTAACATTAATTTCTTGCTTAAACAGAATTTTCAAGTCTTAGAACTTTCCTCGTATAATGGAGAAACTATAAACTTTATAAATATTTTTAATTTTTAACTGCAATTTTATAACCGATATCTGTAGTCATCATGTAATATCTATAGACATTTTAGTGATATTCATTTGATTTAGGCTAATTAAATATGATTAATACACTTATTTATATAGATGAGGAAACTTGCTAAAAAATTATAATAATTTTAATTATTGTCTAATAATAATAATAATTTATAATCATTTACTAATTGATAGTGAATATCTACTCATAAACAATTAATCCTTATTTATTTAGCATAAATTTATTATTTTTTTAAATTCTATATGATGTTTCCTTTTTTCCAACGTGACGTTATGAACATCATCCACTTCTCATAAAAGGAAAGGTTTAGGCCCTGTTCTTTTTGTGCCCTAGAAGTAGATGCTTCTGCCTTTGAGGTGAAATTTTAAAGGACCTGTTCTCTTGGCCTTTATTTCAAGAGCAATTTTGAAGACGTGTGCTCCAAAAATTGGAGCATTTGCTTCCAAGACTGAGCACCGCCTTCAGGCGTGCTTAATCTTGGGAGCAAGTTGCCTCACCTTTTTTATTTCTTTTTTATGAAATACTCTGTTTTGCACGTTTCTACGATTCTGTCGATAGCATAAGGTTGACTGCACAACAAAAAGGTAAGGGGGGTTCTTTTGCTACGTTGCACTAGCCCTCTTCACAATTTAGGTTCGAACCATGAACCGGCTCGGACCGGACCGGGAAAAAAATCATACCGGACCGGACCGGCAATATTTGGTCCGATTCGGTTCTAAACCATGAAGGTTTGCAATCTGGTTAAGGTTCACATTTTTTTAAACTTGAACCAGAACCGGACCGGAACCGTGAAGGAACCGGTGAACCAGAACTGGGAATGAACCGTGAATCGTGAACTGGAACTGTGAGTAAACCGTGTACGAACCATGAACCGGAATTGTGAATGAATCGTGAATCGTGAACCGTGAACTGAAACCGGTAATGAACTATGAACCGTGAACCAGAACCGTGATAAATCGTGAAATATTTAGTATTTTAAAAGTTTAATTTTTATTATTTAATTTTTATTATTTTTTCATTTAAAATTAAAATGAAATACATTGTACATAAAGGTGTGCAAAAACAAACTAATTAATCAAACTAATTTTTAAAATTTAGTTTGGTTTGGATTAAAAAAATAATTCAAAATTATGGTTTGATTTGGTTTAAAAACCAAATTAAACCATTCTAAACAAAAAACTAAAAATTTAAAAATATTTTTGTTTCATAAAAAAATACACACATGTACATATATTTATATGATCATATATGTGTGTGTACACAAACACACATACATGCATACATACTTATATATACACACACATGTAAAAATTTTATCCACTCATGTAAATATAAATATATATATATGTACATATATTTATATTATATATAAATATATACATATATATACACACACACACATGCACCCGCATGCACGCGTGCACACACAAGTAAATATATATATGTATGTATGTATGTGCGTATACATATATAAATAGGTAAATATATGTATTTACATATTTATGCATACACACACACAAACACATACATATTTCTATATTTTTATGAATATATATATATGTTTATATATATACATATGCACGAATATATATGTTATGTATATATGTATATAAATATATATACATATATATACATACACATACTGAAATTTTAAGTTTAGTTTGGTTTGATTTATAATTAAATTAGATTGATTGGTTTCTAAAGTATTAAAACTAAAAGACCAAAAAATCAAACCCAATTATCAAAAACCAAACTAATATTATGGTTTATATATACCCATATGTATATGTACGTATACACGCATACATATATATTTTTATGTTTGTATGAGTATATATATATACGCACACATGAATATATACATATATGTATGTATGTATATACAAATCTACACACACTCATACATATACATGCATATATATACATATTTGATAATAAAAAATTAAATAAATAATTTATTTTAAAGTATTAAAACCAAAAAATCAAACCAAAATTGTGGTTTGCACACCTCTAATTGTATGTAATAGTTTAAATAAATTAGAAAATAGATTTTTTAAAAAATTTCAAATGATTTATTAGTTAATAAATAATTTTTTTGGTAAAATCAAATTGGAACCAAACTGAACTACAGATGAATCGAAATCTAACCAAATTGTGAACGAATCGGGAATCGAACCATGAGCGAACTGGAAAATGAACTGGAAACTGAAACCGTGAAACGAACCGGTCCGGAATAGTGAATCGGGCCGGAACCGACATGAATTGGAATCGGAACCGAACCATCCTTCAAGGTTTTGGTCCTGGTTCATATTTTTTCAGGACTGGAACCGGTGGTCCAGTTCCGGGCCAGGCCGGTTCAAGGCCCGTGAATAGGGCTACGTTGCACTTCAGATGGCTTCTGTAGTGTGGCACGCTAGCTCACGATTGACAAACCTCCTAGCCAATCAGTGAGGAGGAGATGTATTGTTGAACCGTTGCTTGTCTATGCTGCAAGCTAGCTTCGTGTGTCCCCGCGAAGCCATTGATTGGCTCACGAACAAGGCCAAAGCCTCTATTGAAGCAGAAGCGAAAGCCACAGTGTTCTGTAGATTCCTGACGTAGACTTCCAATCTAGAACCCAAATTTCTGAAGCAGAAGCCAAATTTAGGGCCTTCGATAGATAGAAAGGAAAAATGATGGTCAAATGGGCATATAGATTTTTGAATCACCAATAGTCGAATCGTTAACATTGAGCGCAAATTGCCGACTATTGATTGATTGACCGAGAGGAAGATGATGAAATTTTGCCTTTGTTCAACTTTAGTCTTTGATTATTTAATTACTTTTCACTTTAGTCCTTTTTAACTCTTAATTCCATCATTTAAATTTCCATCTTAGCTTCATAATTTATTCTTTTTTTGAGATCGGGCTCTAATTTTTTAATTTTTTTATACGTACTCTTATCTCAAGAATAATATATAAAAAAATATAATTTAAAAAATATAATTTAGAAATGCATACTAAAGGGTCATTTGATAAGAAGGATCAGATAAGACAAGATAGAGTAGGTAGTTGGATAAATTATTCTGAATGCATAATCATTTAGATACTTATCTTATTTAATAAAGGTGGTGGAAGTGGTAGTAATAGGGGTAGTATTGTCTAAATAAGTTAAGTAGAGGTCAGATAAAATTATCCTACCCCTCATTCCAATATAATTTATTTAGATTTGACCCTACAATTATCCAGTCTTTCCTCTATCTAGACTTTATTCAATTTTACTTTATCTGGCCTACCATACATAGATTTAAATAAAATAAAAACGGATAAATTATTCATATTTGCCCTACCCCTGTGTACCGAACGAACCTGAGAGAACAGAACAGTTGCCTTACTTTACCAAGTTACCTTTAAAACATTTCATCTCAATGACATGCATTTTATCTCTAAAACATGTTTGAGTTTAGAGATGTGGCTTTTGGAGACTAAAAAAAACGCTACCTTTTCCTCATGTAAACACCATATAACATAAATTCTTTTAAATTGGATTGCAAGGTTGTAATATTATTTCCCTTTCAACCGCCTCTCGTACTACAGTCATCTATATATATAAAATCATAGACGCGACTCTTCATCTAATTTCTATTCATCTTGATTTCAGTGGTTCCAATCTCTCCGTAACATAGGTAGGCACCATTATCAATCTCTGTGCAGACGACTGGAGTGGTGATCCTCCACACTTACGTACGAACATCATCAATCGATGGGGTCGTTGAAGCAAGACGATGAATTGGAGAATGGTATGGAAGAATCAAAGGAAGCAATCCTGTACGTGAACGGCGTCCGTCGAGTATTGCCCGATGGCCTGGCTCACATGACACTTCTCGAGTATCTCAGAGGTAAATTCACTCCTGCCCTAGGTTCAATTTCAAAACGAAAGGTCCAAATTGTACCACGAAAAAATGGAAAGGATCGAAATTTTACCTTTATAACAGTGGAACAGACAAATGGTAAGTGTAAGGGCACTGGGGCCAGAAGGGAAAATGAAGTGATGTATTCGGGCACTTTTAACTTTGCTCTCTTTTTACTTTTTGACGTCCATGATTGTTTATCATAATTCACATGCTTATTGCAGGTTGCTAATTATAATCTGTGTTCCCCCCTTCCCTTCGAGTTGTTATTTCACCGGAAGTAGCGGAAGATAATTAACTCTTTTTACATGATCTTCGTATACAGATGTCAACTCAACGAAGCCTTTCTACAAGATCAATACGTTGTCATTTTGCTCTATATAACTCATAATTTCAGCATAGTCATGATGACTTAGATTTTTCTATTACTATATGTGCGCGGATTAATATTCATCCATTTCGTTTTCAATTACTATCCTTGATATAAACAGTACCATTTTTAATTAGAATTGTCGATGTGTTAGATTTTAATTGAATCCAATCCGAATTGATTCGAATTTTAGGTTTTTTAGCAAATTAAAATGTTTAATAGATTAAATTTAATTATAAATATTCATAATCCGAAATAAGTAGATTGGATATGAAATTAAAAAATTTAATATGTTAAAAATCAAAATTTAAATATTTTAATAATATTTTTATTTAATTAATAATTATATATATTAATAAATACTTTTATAGATAATACAATATATGTGACATTATAATTAATAATGCACTAATTTGTATTTGTGACGCATTTTATTTAATAGAATAATGTATATTTTTTCTAAACAATTCTAGAATATTCTTTTACTTTCTCTCATTTTAGTTTTTCTATTAGACATTATATTTAATAATTAATTACTTTTGAACTTTGATGAAGCAGTTGAATAAATTGGTTATAGAGTTTTCTAAGTTCTAATTATAGTATGAATAAAACTTAATAATTTTATGAAGTACTAAAATTCTATCATAATTTTTGTAATATATTGTATAACAAAAGTTTTTTTAAGCATTCATAAATAGCAATTTAATTCTGAATTTTATTTATATTTTAATAAAATCAAAATAGTTAAAAATAAATATTACATGAATTTTTATCATTCATAAATAACAATTTATTTGATTTTACATGTTTTTTATTTATTAGTTATTTGATTTTAATTATTATTACTTGTTATTTGGATTGGATTTTTTATTCGGATTTCAGATTTTTATTAGACTCGGACATGGTAGTGATAGATAGAGATCTTAGAGGATTTTGGTTCAGATTCAGTTATATATATTTGTAATCAGATTCGGATTCGGATTATTTTGATTTGATTTGAATCCGACCCATTTACAGCCCTATTTTTAACTTGAGGACTTTTAGGTTGCAGGTGTCCAAATTAGATTAGCATATTTCTCTAATTTTATATTTCATTTGTGCTACTTTTATTGAAATATGGTGTATTTAACACCTAACAGCGTGTTTGATAGGTAGTTAATTTGGGAAAAGTAGTGTAGGAAAAAAAATAAAAAATTAGGTTTAAAGAAAGTGGGCTAAGGGAAATAGTGTAAATTTGTCCTTTTTTTTTTTTTTAATGAATTGTGATGAAAGTAGGTTGTCAAATTTTAAATATCCAATTTATTTATTTTGATAATGCATGTAATATTTTTAAACAATTTATTCATAATTTTTAATTCAACATGTTACATCTACATCACTCTCTCTCCCATATATTTGTGATTAAAGGAAGGTATAGGAACTATGCAATAAATTAATATCCTTCTTTCAAAACTAACTATTCCTTCTTTCATGTCCTGCATTTTATTAAAGTTAAGTGCTGTCTTTATTTATATGTACTAAAATACTTTTCCTTCATTCACCTAGTCTGTGTTTTGTTAATATAATTTCATAAAAAGAAAATGTAGACCAAGTCATAGCTCCATTTTTTAAGTATTTCCAAACCTTGAAAAGTTTATCATGTTGTCATAAAACTCTTCCTATCTGCATCTTTGTCAGGTCAGATTTCATCTCGGACATTCTAGTTCTATAAAATATTTAGTTTCTCTAATGTCTCTTACATCTCCAATTATTTCTTTTTTCTTTTATTTTTTTAAACTTTTTTTAGGAGGGACATCTGGATTTTTTCTCTGTTTAAAACTTACTTTCTTTACCATTCTCATTTAATAACTTCTCTCAATTTTTTTTAATTTGTTTATTATTTGAATATCTTATAATACTAGTTAATATTCTTTCTTAGTATAAATACTACAAATTAAAATTTCTAGTTTTTTCTCGCTTAATTTAGAAAAGTGTATGTGTAAATACATATATTCCTTTCCGCATCTTTATTTCTAACTTTGTATTTAAGCAATGGTTTAGGCTTTTCAATTATTCTTTTGGTTTTGTTGGAATAGTTAATCTTATGTTAGGTTAGTATTAGTTTTATGTTAGGTTAGTATCTCACATCGAATAATGTGGATATTTGTTTTTGTTATGAAGTGTATATATACATGTAGTACTAAGATGATTAATGAGATAGTTATTTTTCTTCCTTCTATATTTACATGGTATCAGAGCCAAATCTCTAGTTCTTCTTTCATTACTGTGTTTTCTTCTAGTAGTGACTCAACCTTCAAATTTGACAGTATTTCACTGTTCCCCGAACCTTGAAACTCAACCTAGATCTTTGTTGTTAGTTCTCGTCAGAAACTATCTATCAAGACAGGATTGCCGTAGGAGCCGCCATGCGCCGCCGACCAGTCTGCTTCTCCGGTGCGTGTGACCCCACGCGCCACCCCCTTACCAGTCTCTTCCTTTTCTGCCGATGTCGGATCCCTGGTCAGATTCGACCATCGACTGCAATTTTTGACGCTGATCGCAACCACCGAGATCCACTGCTCGTCAGTCCAGATCCATTACTCGTTAGATCTAACCATTGGTTGTCGGTTTAGTCCATCAGCCCAGATCCGACTATAACCTCGTGAGGGTTGTGTCGATCTGTTGTTGGAATCCGATTGGCTCACCTGGTGCGATTTACAGCCATCTCCTTTCCATATGTGACCCTTGCTAATGGTTCCAAAACTATGGCCAAAGCACAAGTTTCACTTTTTCCTTCATTAAACTTGGATTCTGTTCTCTATGTTCCTAGTTGTCCTTTTAACCTTATTTCAATTAGTAAATTGACACGTGCTCTGAATTATTCAGTAACCTTTTTCAATGATTTTGTCATTGAACAGGACCGGGGCACGGGATAGATGATTGGCGCAGGGCGTGAGTCCTAAGGACTTTATTGCATTGATTTACCTTCTTCCTCAGTTGCCTGCATGTCTACCGAATCTGCCACTCTTACTCATAATCAATTGGGTCATCCAAGTCTTTCCAAACTATAGAAGATGGTTCCGAGTCTTTCATATTTGTCATCTTTAGAGTGTGAGTCGTGTCAACTTGGTAAACAATCACGCGTTTCATTTCCCAAGCGAGTTAATAATAGGGTTACGTCTCCTTTTGAGTTAGTCCATTCAGATATTTGGGGTCCGAGTCGTATTCCATCTGTCCTAGGTTTTAAGTATTTTGTCATATTTATCAATGATTATTCCCGATGTACTTGGTTGTATTTATTGAAAAATCGTTCTAAAGTGTTTTCTATTTTCAAAGAATTTTTTGTTGAAATAAAAACTCAATTCAATGTTTCAATTCGTGTTTTGCATAGTGATAATGCTCGTGAATATTTTTCTTCTTCTTTTATTGACTTCATGGCCTCTCAGGGCATTCTTTATTAATCTTCTTGTACTCATACACCACAACAAAATGGTGTCGCTAAGTGAAAAAACCACCATCTCATTGAAACAGCTCGTACTCTTTTACTCCATTATAATGTTCCCTTTCGTTTTTGGGCTGACACAGTTCTTATAGCTTGCTATCTAATTAACCACATGCCCTCTTCAGTTTTACAGTACCAAATTCCCTTTTCCATTCTCTTTCCGAATCAATCTATGTATCCTCTACCTCCTCGTGTCTTTGGTTGTGTGTGTTTTGTTCATAACTTAGCTCTTGGATAGGATAAACTTTCTGCTTGGTCCACCAAATGTGTTTTCTTAGGGTATTCTCGAGTCCAAAAGGGGTATCGATGTTATTCTCCTACTACCCAGCGCTTTTACATTTTTGCTGATGTCACCTTCTTTGACTCCTCTCCATACTTTACTACTGCATTAGATTCGGATTCTATTTCTCACATTTGTCCCATTCTATACTTAGGTCCTCCTCTTCATGCTACTTAAGAAGTTGCTCCACTTGTGTTTGAACCTCCACCTCCAGTTCGTCCTCTACAAGTCTATGGTCGTCGACCTCGTCCTCCCTTTACCAATATTGAAGAGGTTCCATTGGACTCCCCTGCTGTACCAACATCTCCTCGTACCACAGATGAGTCTATAGATGCTTCTCTACCACTAGCTCTTCGGAAAGGTGTTTGCTCCACCAAGTATCCCTATCTTATTTATACCTTTCTTAGTTATCATCGTTTGTCCCCTTCCTATTATTCCCTTATCTCCACCTTATCATTTGTGTCTGTTCCTCGAACTACTAGTGAGGCACTTTTTGATCCTGGATGGCGACAAACTATGATTGATGAGATGATTGCTTTACATTCTAATGGTACTTGGGATCTAGTACCTCTTCCTCCTGGAAAATCTACTGTTGGATGTCGATGGGTATATACTATGAAGGTTGGTCCTAATGGCCAGGTTGATCGCCTTAAAGCCCGTTTGGTTGCTAAAGGATACACACAAATTTATGACTTAGATTATTGTGACATATTCTCTCCTGTGGCCAAAATTGCCTCTGTATGTTTATTTCTCTCTCTTGTTGCTATAAATCACTGGCCTCTTTATCAGTTGGACATCAAAAATGCTTTTCTTCATGGTGAGTTACTGAAGGAGGTTTACATGGAGCAATCGTTGGGCTTTGTTGCTCAGGGAGAGTCTGGTTTGGTTTGTCGACTTTGACGCTCACTTTATGGCTTAAAACAGTCTCCAAGGGCCTGGTTTAGTCGCTTTAGTACAGTCATTCAAGAGTTTGGCATGATTCGAAGTGAAGCTGATCATTCAGTTTTCTATCATCATGGATCACACAGTACATGTATTTTTCTTGTTTATGTTGATGATATTCTCATCACTGGGA